TTAGCTTATAGTAGATAGGTATAAAGCTTTCCTAAGTAGTTACACTTTAATACTAAGATCTATTGCTTATAAGCTATACCTATTAGCATATTAAATAGATCCTATAATACCTAGTAGTATAGACGTGGTAATCTTTCACTTGGTTGTCTTAATATAACCTGTTAGGCATGTGTAATAGCGCAGTGCTCGCATTTGCTCCTAGGAGTTCCTTTAATCCTAACGTTTATTACTAACTTAAATAGAGCTTTAAGCGCCTTAGGTCCTAAATAGCCTAATTATTAGTGCTAAAGCTCCTCACTGTCGTGTCTTGGGTGAGTTATCTAGGATCGCTAGGGTTGTTTAGGCACTATGCTTTGGATTATTAGATAAGGAGTAGAGGGCTTGTATTCTAGGAAAGTTAAGTTAAACTTGCGCAGTAACTTAGCTAATACAACGCTCTTTTCTAATAATCTAAACTGCAAGGTAGCATCTAGCCTAAGGAACTATACTCCTGCTTTAAGCAATTAAGCTTCTAATATAATATTTACATAAAAACCTTCTACTAACACTATATTAGTAAGCACTAAATCTTCTGTTTTTGGACCTCTTGGTCTATTAAGAGTATTAGGGATCACTCTAGTCCCTCTGCCTAAGATTAGAAAAGCTTAAGTTCCTGCTTTAACTATCTTATATTTAACTAATCTAAACAAGCTTTCTTCTAGGTAGCTTATATTATTAACTAGGTAGACTGCACCCCTGTTGTTAAAGATAGTACTCTTTAATAGAGCGTAAGCTTCAAAGTCTATAGTTAAATAGATCCTGTTTGTTTTCTCCGCTATTAACATAGGGTTAATTAGTGCCGCCTAGATACTGCCTAGATAGGTGATTGTGCTTGCCTTACTACTATAATCTTGATTAATAGGATAGGATTTAATTAGAGCTTTTCTTAACTCTTTGAATTTTTAATTCCTATTAATCTTTTTCTTAATCTCTGATTGTTAAGTAGTAGTAAGCTTGTTACCTGTATTAGTCCAAGCTTTAATAACGTTTCTGCATTTAGGAGGTTTCTATAGGTAGGATCTACCACATAGGCATAAAGACTCCTTCTTAGGTTAATTAGAAGGTAGAGCTCCTATTATTACAAACACTCTAGGACCCTTAGAGCTTAATCTTATATCGTTCTCTTAGAGAAGTAATAAATAGATCTTAGTAACCTATAGGAGGTTATAAGTTAGCTCTCCTATTACTAACTTTTTAATAATCCTTTAAAACATAGTTTAACCCTAATCTAGTAAGACCCTAGTAGATAGAGCTTTAAGATAATCTTATACTATAAGCTATCCTTTAATATTAGGAACGTTATATACCTTAGCTTACGTATATAGGATTATCTACTCCTTCTACAATTAATTAGTATCTTAGCTACTTATCTTTGCCTTAGTAAGATAAGCTTTATAATATAATCTAGCTAGTGTTGCAGCTCTTAAATTAGTTAGCGCTAGGTTATTGCAGAGTACTTAGATAAGTGCTTAGAGGGTTACTCTTCCTTAATTAACAAGTTCTATATAGGCTAGGGTAAGGATCCCTTAATCTACTATATTATTAACCTGTATAAAAAGGTTCTAGATTACTAATAACTGTAATACCTAATCTAATAAGTAAGCTTAGTACAAGGCTATTTAGAGTTTATACTACTTGCTTATTATATTAGATAGCGCGATACCTATTAGTATATTAGGCTTAATAGGTTTATTCTTAAAGTAGTTTTTAGTATCCTAAGTATTAGGGTCTACCTCTACCTAGATCCCTTTAGTTAGGGCATGGTATCTGAATTACATATACTAGGTAGGCTAGTTAGTTAATCTAGTAAGTAGGATATCCCCCTTTAGGATTTAGTTGCTTATAGTAGAAGAGTAATAAGTAAGCTTCTACTTAAGAAATAGTATAAAAGAAAAAGTAAAGCTTGCTAGCTTAGTATCTAAGTTAAATAATACGCTTAAATAGATAGGACAATCTTTAATAAGGTAAAGCGCGAACTAGGCTTATAACTATAGAAATCTAGATTACTAAGGTTAGGAATAATTTAGGAGATAGATTATTAGATTATATCTACTACGATTAGACTTATATATATAGAGCTTTAGCTACCCTTACTAGAAGGTGAATAATTAGTAAACCTTCCTTACTAGAGCTCCTGCTTTTTATTAGGCACTTGGCAGTAAGCTAGCAGTTGATTAGATAGTGGGTCATACAGGGGTATTAATCAGGATTAATTGGATTAAAATGCTCCGTGATCTGGTTAATATCCCTCCTGTAACATTTAGTTTATAATATATAATATAAAGATAAACTAACTAAGTAAAAAGTTTAACTAGCTATAAGTGAAGTATAAAGTAATAGAAGTCCCTACTCTACTTATAGTAGTGTTAGACTTACTAGGGAACTTGTATAAGACTATGCATATAGATCTGCTAGAGAGAGCTACTAATAACCTACTACTAAGCTAGAAGCTTTAGGACTTATAACTAGGCCTAATAGTTACTCTAGAAAATAAAGACGTAACGCTAGATAAATAAGAAGTAGAAGAGATCCTTTGTGTAAAGAATATAAGAAGAAAAGGGAAGCGTTAAGTCCTAGTAAAATAGAAGGGGTATATTAATCTAACATAGCACCTGCTAGAGGTAGTATAGGATACTAAGGCTCTAGATAGGTTTAAGGAATAGTATAGGGATATTACGTATAATAATAGCCTAATATGTATAAAAGCTAGGAAGTAAGGGTAGAAGAAAACTAGAATAATAACTTAGACCTTTATTATAATAAAGAAGTAGAAAGGTATTAGAGATATCTTTTATTTATCCTTATAATACTCTAAGTAAGTGCCCTACTACTAAAGTTTTATAAGGTAGCTAATAATTAGGTAGTAGTTTTTATACTATTACTATCTATAACTAACCCCCCCTTAGCTCCCCCTAAACTATTATTTATATTATTCTAACGCCTCTATATCTCTTAGTAATAGTAGTAACGCTTACGTATAGTGTAGGTAGGGGAGGACTTAGTTAATAAGTATAAGTAATAGTAGTAGTAGTAGTAGAAGGAGGGTAGTGCTTTAATAGTTTATAAACGTGTAGTACCCTAGGCCTAAAGAAAGCAAATATTAGAATATATATAAAGGGAATAAAGGAAAATTAATACTAATAATAAGAGTCTTAATACTATAGGTAGTGCGCTTAGTAGCGCTCTTAAGCTTATTAATATAAAGGTTAGTTTAGGCCTAGGTCTTGTTTATATACTAGTTAATATACTAGAAGGTAATACTAGTAGTAGTAGTAAGCTATATAATATTATTATTACTATAACTACTATATAAAGGTGTAATAGTAGACTAAAGTAGAAATACTAGAGTACTAGTAGTAGATAGAATAATAGCACTAAGCTAATACTAATTATAGGCGCGTAAGTAGGTAGTAGGGGTAAGTAGAGTAATAGTATTATTAGTTTAAGCCCTTAATATAAGATCCTTAAAATAATAGTAGAGCTAGTAGAACTATAGTATAAACTAGTAATAGGTGCCTTTAGTAGGTTTCCCTATAAAAGTACTAAGGGTCCCCTTCTTTATAATATAGAGGTAATCCTCCTAGTAACTATAATAAAACTAAAGCTAGTTATAGAGGGCTTAGTAAATATTAGGATTATAAGCAAGGATAGCTTCTAATTAAGTATAGGTCTTATAGCTATAATAGTAGGACTTATATAAGCGCCCTAGATATAGTTAGAACTTGCTATAAAGAAAATAAAAATTAAGGGGAACTTACTACTACCTTCCTAATAGTTATACTTACTAAAGAGATAAAGCTAGTTAATATACTAATTATAGGGAAGTAGCTTTATAAAGCTACTATTATATTCCTTATTATCTAAGTTACTAGAAATAATAAAGCTACTAAGTAACTATATTTAGGGAGATATATACTAAGCAAAAAGTTAGTATAGGAAATATAGGGAGAATATTAGAAGTACGCACCTTATCTTAGTAGGCCTAGTATAGGGTCTAACTACCTTATAGTAGATCCCTACTACTAGTACTAGTAGTAGTTAATAAGGATATAATAGGGGCTAGATAGGTAGGATTAATAGAGAAAGAGTAGAGAGAGGGCTAATTAGTAGGGAAAATCTATTATATAACAAAGTAAGTTTAGGAAATTTATAGTAGGGTAGGATAGCTATATTAGAACTATTATAGTAGGGTACTAAAATAAGTATATAGATACTACACGTGTATACTACTTAATATATAGGCCTGTTATAAATTAGGAAGGAATATAAAGATATAATAATAAAACTAAAAAATATAGTAATAAAGCCTAATATAGATTATAGAGGATAGAGATATAACCCTAGACCCCTAGAAAGATAATTTTAAGATAGTTTATAGGGGAAGGTTAGGGGTATATAAAGGGCTTAGGCTTATGCCTAAGCCTAGGTCTAACACAAGACAGACTAAGTCTAACACTACTACTAAGCAAACACACTAGACACCTATAAAAAGGCGTAGAGGGCTTATCTCTCCTTTAAGATACTAAATACTATTATTAACGCTTATTGTATTCTCTCTTAATGCTAGTCTATAACATACTATTAAAGTTACATTAAATAATAAGGTTCTACTACTAATCTTTTTAAATAAGTAACTTTTATAAACCTCTTTCTTTAAAAAAAGACCTTATTTATCTAAACTATATCACATGCTATAAATTATTAAAAAGGTAGATCTTATATAATAGAGTACCTCTAACCTCTCTACTATAAATTCTACTATTCTAAGTTTCTGTTCTAAAGTAATTAATATTTTTGTAATTTCCTATTATATTTAGGATCCCTAGTAAAGTCATCGTGATAGGTTGAACACGGCCATAGCACGCGCAGCCTCGGTACCGGGTACGTAAGTCTTCGCTCCTTGTCCACCACCACCTCCTTTGCATCTTCAATCTCAACGCTCCACCCATGTTTGGGTCCGCATGGCGGCAGCAGCAGACGACGATTACATCTCCAGAACGGCGGCCTACCGTCTCATGAGCGGCATGGCGGCGGCGCTCGCCGACGCGCACGAGAGCGAGGTGGCACGTCTCAAGGCCGCAAGCCAGCAGCAGCTGCAGCAGCAAGAGGCGCAGCACGCACAGCAATACGCACAGCTGCAACGCGCCCTTGAGGCTGAGCGGCGACTGCGTCTGCGGCAGACGGACCGGGCTGTTGAGGCGCAGGGTGGCTTCCGCGTGCACGTGGTGGCCAGGCCGTGTGATGATGTTGAGGATGATGCTGCGGACCGCCACGACTTCAGCGACCACGGCGTGACAATACGTGACAGCCGCAGCACCTATTGCTTCAACAACCTCGAATACGTCCATCCGCCCACGCCCTCAGCCCCAGCCGTCATCTGGCGCGAGTGCGAGCCCTTTGTGGACGGCGTGGCCATGCAGCCGCCGCGCCATGTGCTGCTGCTGGCCCACGGCCGCACCGGCTCCGGCAAGACGCACCTGATGGCGCAGAATCTGGTGCCGCACACGCTGGCCCGCCTATTCCACCTCAAGCAGCTGTACGAACAGCAGGGCGACGTTGTGGCCATTGAAGCGCGCCAGGTCGACATCTACCATGGGCGCGTCTACGACGCCGACGGCTGCGAGCTCGCCTACCACCAGCAACCTAGCCCGCGCGCTAATGGCACCGCCACCCCTGCCAACGCCTCCCCCGCCAACGCCTCCCCCGCAATCTCGTTTGAGCCCTTCCGCGTGACGGGCCGCCACGCCGCCGGAACTGGCCCTCACAACCCCCGCACGCCTCTGCACGACCTGGCCCACGCCACTGCCACACTTGCTGACATGGCCGCCCAGCGTGACAGCCGGTCGCGGTCGACGAGCGGCAATGCCCAGTCAAGCCGCAGCCACCTCGTCGTCGCCCTTTTCATGCGCACCACGCGCGCAGCCACGGGCGAGACCACCGAAGGCTCTGTCCACCTTGTCGACCTGGCTGGCAACGAAATCAACAACCTGGACAGCGCGGCAGAGCGCGAACGTGTACACAACGACAACGGCCTGCGTGCCCTGGGCAACATCCTCCACATCGTCCACGCCGTTTCGGCCTCGCTGTCCCTACCCAGCCGCTCCAACAGGCATCTGGTAACGACGGTGGACCACATCAGCCCAGTAATGTGGCGGGCCTCCAATGCAAGTGTCCCTTCTATCCCCTCCCCCTCCCACCACACATAATATACTATTATT